AAGTTGATCATTTCTGCTGTTTTACTGAACAGTGTTGCACAACTCTATGAGATAATGAGCCGCTTTCATGTTTCCACGTTAGCTATTTTCTTTAAATTTATATTTGCTTGTGGTCAAGATTTTATTATCTAGCTTAGCGAAATTTGCAATTCGGGAAAATGAAAGACTCTGTACAAATCAATATTTAGACACGGAATCGAGAGCAAGATGTCACGACTAAATAATGCCCTGGAACCTTCAGTCTAACCCAATCACCTTGCTGTCCGGATCCTATACACGGCTAAATGATTTTTAAAGCCGATCTGCGGAAATGTGTTAATTTTTTTAGAATCCCTACAGAGAATATTTCCTTCAAGAAGAAAACCCTGCTGAAACGAAAACAACGCGTTGGAAGCCGATTGTCATTGATATTTTCAATTTATTGCAATAGCATCCACAGGAGAAATCTATAAACCAATCCAGACATTTGTTTCACTTAATGTCACCTCAGCATTATGCTAGACAACTGACATTTCATGTAAATATGGTATTTTGTTATTAACACCCAATAAATTGTAACCAATAGATGACAAAAGACATTTTGTTATTATTGTTAAATGTAACTATTGGTTGTTCTGACACGGGTTGGCAGTTTGCTGTCTCTACCCGTTGTGTTGACCTTATTTCGAGTAGCAATTCTAAAAAGTGGTACTATTTCCAGAATATCTATATTTTCCTGGTGTGACATCAGCATACACGATTTGTTTGCATATTTTGATTAAAAAAGGAAGTTATCAGTTGTTTCAGCATAAACATGTGGTACATGTATAACGTTTTTATTTGTTGTGAAATCTATTAAATACTTTTTTTTTCCATGAAAAACATCATTGCTAGATATTGAACGTTTAAGTTTAAGTGAAAATAAAAAAAATCTCAGAATTTTTTTTTCGGAAATTCATTTCTTTCCTCAAAAAAGTAGACTGATATGTTATATAACAAATAAATTTTATTACTCAAATACGCCGTGCAACGAAAATCTGATCTAGCTTATATTAAATGTTCTTTTGTGACTGTCTTTATTTTAAATATGTCCACCGATTGTTTTGTTAATGTTTACGGCGGTTTTGTGCACTGATATTTGTTGTTATATCCTCTGGTGTTACGTTGACTGATAAAAGTAACTTGTCTAATGTATGGCTGCCGTTACAAGACTCCGCATAACTCTACAGGTTCCATGATAAGTTTTCCTTATTGAAATAATTACTGATAAAGTACATATCTCTGTCGTTTAAACAATTGCATGACTGTAGAAAGACATTGATAGTCTAATAATCTTCTATTTTAAACACATTATTTCATAAAACTTGGGATACTATTTTTATTTTACGTTAATTTACGTTTACTTATAAGTAAGGTTATTGAATCCCAGTAATTTCATGTTTCCTTTCTCGTTTAATGCGTCTCTACAATTCAGATATCCAGAAATTATTATAATAAATGAAATTGAATATTATTTTTGTGAAAACAAATCTAGATTTTAAAATACATATAAAATACTGTAGATCACTAAATTTTCGAGGACACTTTTTTTCGTGAGATAGTCATTGTCTCTTGATTAGCGAGAAAAAAGGTCACGAATTGTGGTTTTTGCTCTATATAATCTTGAGTAATACTATTAAACGCGAGAATTAAATTTTCGCGAGCACACTGTGTCGCAAAATTACGCGAAAATAAAGTTCTCGCGAATAAAAAGTGATTTACAGTATATCAATCCCAAAATTATTAGAATTTATATCCAACAAAGGGTTGAATATAAGGATTATCATATAGGCACTCGGGAAAAAGTGCCGGTAAAATACCTGAACCATTTTTAAAACAAAAAATACAGACAAACTCGGATTTTAATTTATAAGAAAACAAGGAAACAAGCAATATTTTTTAGAAATACTTAGTAAATATGTGCAATAAGTCATTTTTTAGTGACACATTGAACATAAAACTTATTTAGTAAAATGATGCATTAATAAAACAGAAATTTGGTAAGCAACAGGAATACTTTCTAAATGTCATAATTACTCAACAATTTTAAAATTATAGTCAGTTTAAGACCAATAAAGATCAATATCTGGTATGCCCCCCGCAGACACAAATGATAGCCACAAACGGAATCTAATAGAAGCAAATGTGTGTAATAAAAACTGTATAGGAATACTCTCCCACTCCAAATGTAGAACTTTAGTCAGCTGTTGCAGAGTCTTGGGATGCGATTGTCTCTGGCAAATCATGTCAATCCATTTTGTCCAATGCTGCTTAATTTGGATCAAATTTAAATCTAGCGATTTAGATGACTGTGACTGAAACATGTTGTTGTTTCTTTGCTAGAATAGGTGTGTCAAACGAGCCATATGTGGCTGTGTATTGTGAGATTGCAATACGGCTCTAGGATGCTGCAAAATTGAATGGGTATGTGTAGGTAGAACATGGTTAGAGTACCTTTTTCCATCAAAGTCCATTGAATTCGAATCAAATTAATCTCACTTTCTTATAATACCATTTTCCATATCATTACACTACCACCAACAACTTTTTTAACGTCCTTGGGGCATTTATCTATCTAACATTCATTAAAAAGCATTAGCACTCTTAAACTCATAAGAGGCTTTCAGATAAACATTCTGGATTCGCAGATTAACCAAAATGTTCAGTAGTGATGCCGTGGTCATATTCTATTCATCTGAGATCTTTGAAGTCGATATTTGGGGTGTTGTGGAGTCGGAACAATGGCATGAATAATCCTCTTGAAATAATTTTTAGTCAACTGAAAACGATCTTGTTAGATGATCTGTGCAGTTCAGGGATAGCTAATGCTTTAGATGACGTCCTTGCATAACATTCATGCAATTTACGTAATCCTCGGAAGTGATGCTGTGCTGCTGATGTCACACGTAGTCTACCATATTTTTTGCGAACATTGGGTGTTCGATGTTAATGGTTTATGTTTTACAGGTTAGATATGGTCTGTGTGTAACATTAAAACCTCGTGCAATTGTAGATTGCGGTACCTCTGCTTCCAGTCGCCCATTTTCCTTTTTGTGCCACGCAACATTCAGATGCAGCAATTTTATAAAGCGTCATTTTTCAGATAAAACCAGATTCAAAATATCGAGAACCCCCGCTTTTGATAGCCCCTTTGTACCTGAAGGAATTGCATCGGAATTTAACAAATGAAAATTGTGATCAAAATTTTGGGGGAAATTTTGCAAAATCAGTTCTTTTTGTCTGTGAGACTTGTAGAATAGCTGTAAAGTTAACAATTGCATTAAAAAATCATTCATTTCACTCGAATACATCGTATCCATACAAAAATAAAAGGTATGGCAAAACTATCATACATTTTTCAGGACATTGTTCCTACTATGCGTTTCTTTTTTGAAGAGTATATATGAAACATATAATACTAAAATATGGCTATCAAATATTTTTATCTCACCCTAACAAAAAAAACTATAGTTAACTATAGTTTTTGATAAAGTTTTTCAAAGTGTCAAAGTGTTTGATAAAGTTTTTCAAAGTGTCAATATTACTGAAAAAGTTTTTCAAAGTGTCAAAGTTTTCACTTAAGTTTTTCAAAGTGTCAAACTTTTCGCAAAAATTAGTCAAAGTGTAAAAGTAATCACTATAGTAAATGAAACTTCACATTTTTGTATCAAGGTGTCAAAGTTTTCGATAATGTTTTTCAAAGTGTCAAAGTTTTCCATTATGTTTTTCAAAGTGTCACAGTTTTCGCCAGTGTTTATCAAAGTGTCAAATGTTTGCCAAAGTTTATCAAAGTGTCAATGTTTTCGCCAAAGTTAATAAGTGTCAAAGTGTTTGATAAAAGTTGATCAAAGTGTTAAAGTTATCACTATAGTAAACCAAAGTTTTCAAAGTGTCAACGTCATGACTATAGTTAACTATTTTTTTTTTTTGTTAGGACAGAATGAAATTAGTATTCTGGACATAAATAGTGATGTAGTCATGTTGTAAAAAGTAAATGTTAATCTATACAAAATGCACACATTTGAAAAAAAAATTCAAGACATCATTTATTTTGATAAGTTACTTTATTCAAGTGTATTGAATTATTAATTGTCTAGTGTTTATTTTTTTTTTTCATAAAAATCCCATATAATTGAGTTATTGAAGAGCATATAATATATTCTAACAACTTTTACTGGAAAAATACATGCAGAATTGTGATTAGTGTTCATGGACTTCGAAGTATCGGTAGCAAATACTAGTACAAGAAAAGTTACATGTAGTTATCATAAGATTTCAACATTCCTCAAGGTGAACTATTAGTTTGACATTTTACTTGTATGGTTTTTAAATGAGATTGCTTGAATGGGTTTAATTCTTGTCATATCTTATTTCCAGTTTATTTAAATTCATTGTTTGGTTACACAGATAAGTTTATGTTAAATCTTTTTCTCCACACATTTTACATATTTTACACCTAAATATTCTTCAATAATTCATCAGAACTATGCTGGTGTTATTTAAAGCTACGAATCACGCTACTAAAATGTCTGGATGCAATTACATTTTATAAAATTTCTCTTACGAATTGCCTGCTATCATTAACAAACAAAATTTTTTTTTTATCAAGTTCGAGATACCATTATCGGATTTTTTTTTTCAAATATGCTGGCTTATTTAATTTGTTTCTTTTTAATGCTGTTTGTCAAAAGACACATTCAAAATACATTGTATGTATTTAGATTAAAGACAACGATAAATTCATGTAATTTTGAGGGTTAGAAAGTAATACAAATAATGAACATACATGTATTTTTTGTTTTAAAAAAAATAATCCTTTTGTGCTTAGACAAACAAGGAAAAACATTTAAATACGGTCTCATTTCCGAGAACCCCTTGAATACATTATTTTGAATACACATGAACCTGTTTTCTCGGAACAAAATATATAGCACGCGGCTGAATAACCCTTTTTACTGCTCAGATTGCTTTCGAGGAGGAAAATGCTGTCATCCATCTTGTGGAATGTGCGATGCGTTGGTACTAAATTGGGTAGGGCAGTTAACGTATTTAGAAAACCACCACCAACACACTTGCCTCAAAAAGATAATGATTTAGGTAAGCGGAGAAAAGGCCTTGATCATGCAAAGAAAATCTATCAATTAGATCAAAAGGACTTCGGCTTTGTAAAAACAGGAGAAGGGACCAAGGAAGTTGATCTGGTAAACATACCGCCAATGGTAAGCTATTTTTTTTTTAAAGAAGGAAATAAATATATTGATTACATAAGATAAAGACTCCCTTTGCAAAAAAAAAAACATAACATTCAGAGTATATACGATTTTATTTTAAATATTATAAGTATTTTAAATTTTATCCTTGATCAAGCCTGTACTATTTTAATTTGTACAGAAAATTAAAACTTTCATTTATCTAAAGATTTCAACGAACACATAATAAAATTAATTAACCTTATAATATTGACATGATAAATTTCCAAAAGGTATTCATAATTTCTATTGAATAATACATGTAGGAAATCGGACCATTTTAGGCTGTTAAATAGTTTCCTCAATGAAAATATGCCCCATTTCTATAATTAATTTTTCTTTCTTTTTCCACCACGCCTACTTTTTGTTTAATATTTTTAAATCCATCTCTTTTTGTTTAGACGTAACCTTTTTGAAAGAAGCTTTTAGTTACACATAAAAGTTTTTCCATAACTTGATATTTCTAACTCTAAAGGGAAGTTTTCAAACTTCCGTTTTGGAATTCCAAATAACTTATGTAACAGTTCACATAAATTAACTTCCGTTTTGGAATTCCAACTAACTTGTGTAACAGTTCACATTAAAATCTGATATCAAGGTTGCAGCTTATAAAATTCGGGACTTTTTTGCCTAGCAACAAAAGTTATTACATTACAAAAATCTTAAAGTAAAATAAATTTAATGCTTTTCATTGTTTTTCATTGTTTTAAGTTGAAGACTGTTCCCTGTAAAGAAACATATTATTTTTACGACGTAAGTATACTTCTTTGGATGATTCTGAAGTACCTGTATAAAGAAAGGAATGCAATCATTTGTCTTCAAAAATTTAAGGGTATTTAACAACACACTGCATATAATGATATCCATCGTAAAGAAGTTATTTACGCATATATAGCGGTTAAAAATATTTGAAATTTTTTCTTCCAAATATTGTTTTGTAATGATGTGCTCGTTTGCTCCTTATCTATGGAATCTTTTCTCTACCTTGTAGCTCAGGTTTGCAGCAAAATTTTTATTTTATCAAATATATGAATCGTTACAAGGAGAGGGAAGCTGGACTCTGGATGAAATTATATCACATTTTAGACATTCGCGAATTCTAACGAAACCAAAGGTACTTTCTTTTATATAATGACATATATCATAGTTTACATATACTGGTTAAATTTGCAATTAAACCCTCACAATTTATAAATGTAAATATTATGTGTAACATAAATATGCTACAGAATAATGAAGTTTAAAAAGTATCAGCAAAACATTATGCATTGAATGTGAAGATAATGAATTGTTATAATCCTTAAAAAAGGCTAGTCAAAGCGTATAAATTGACAACAACACAAACAAAGACACCTGGAAGTATCGAAGGACGGATAGAGTAACATATACGGGTGAATAGGCCTTCCCTGTAGACCGGTGACTAATGTAAGATATTTGATAAAGCTCCAACGTAAACGATACATTTAAATGTCATAGGAAAACATTATATCTGTTACGTAGAACATTTTAAATGCTTCACAAGAAACCTGAATTTGATATGCTTGTTCGAATAATTGAAAGTCAAATACTATTGACTGAAAAAAACGGAAAATAATGAACGATGGCGAATTTCATAATTTAAAAAAAAATCTGAAAATCGTCACAAACATGACAATTATTATTATTGATATTACAAGGATTTCATCGCCTCTCTTAAAAGTCAGCATTTCGGAAATTTGTGATCTTTATGACTGTTTTGACCATATATGCTTTATATACCTGACATTTACCGCATCAAACAACAATTATTATAGAATAATAATCGTATATACTAGTATGTTTTCAATACAGGCGTTAATATAGAGGTTTCCATAAGAATTAAATGTTTGTAAAATTTCTCTATTGTAAATTCATTAATGCCTAACCAAGAATGGTATAAGGTAACGTGGTCAGCCTACCGAGGCTGTTGTATTTTGTTACCCGCATGTTACCCCCGATTAGATAAGACACGCTCAATTTAAAGACATTTAATGACAATTTTTAGATTGTTAAATCAGCTCTGAGGCGTGCTTTTTATACCCGCACTTTCTAAAGAAAGTTCGGGTATATTGTTGTTACTCATGTCCGTCCGTCCGTCTGTCACACTTTTCTTCCCTGAACTTCTCCTACATTTTACACAGTAGCTTAATCATCTTTTGGGAGATGGTTGGTGGTGTCATGTAGATGTGCAGTAAGGTTTCGGAATTTTGATTTTGCCCCGGGGGGTCAAATGGGGGTCGAAAAATGACGTTTTTTATGCTAAAATCCCCGTCTTCCCTGAACTCCTCTTACATTTTACTCAGCAGCCTAATCATCTTTTGGGAGATGGTTGTTGATGTCATATAGATGTGCAGTAAGGTTTCGGAATTTTGATTTTGCCCGGGGGAGTCAAATGGGGGTCGAAAAATGACGTTTTTTATGCTAAAAGCCCTGTCTTCCTTGAACTCCTTCTACAATTTACTCAGCAGCCTAATCATCTTTTGAGAGATGGTTGGTGGTGTCATATAGATGTGCAGTAAGGTTTTGGAATTTTGATTTTGCCCTAGGAGGTCACATTGGGGTCGAAAAATGACGTTTTTTATGCAAAAATCCCCTCTTCCTTGAAATCCTCTTACATTTTACTCAGCAGCCTAATCATCTTTTGGGAGATGGTTGGTGGTGTCATGTAGATGTGCAGTAAGGTTTTGGAATTTTTATTTTGCTCCGGGGGGTCAAATGGGGGTTGAAGAATGACGTTTTTTATGCTAAAATCCCCGTCTTCCCTGAACTCCTCTTACATTTTACTCAGCAGCCTAATCATCTTTTGGGAGATGGTTGGTGGTGTCATGTAGATGTGCAGTAAGGTTTCGGAATTTTGATTTTGACCCGGGGGGTCAAATGAGGGTCGAAAAATGACGTTTTTTATGCTAAAAGCCCTGTCTTCCTTGAACTCCTTCTACATTTTACTTAGCAGCCTAATCATCTTTTGAGAGATGGTTGGTGGTGTCATGTAGATGTGCAGTAAGGTTTTGGAATGTTGATTTTGCCCTAGGAGGTCACATGGGGGTCGAAAAATGATGTTTTTTATGCAAAAATCCCCGTCTTACTTGAACTCCTCTTACATTTTACTCAGCAGCCTAATCATCTTTTGGGAGATGGTTGGTGGTGTCATGTAGATGTGCAGTAAGGTTTTGGAATTTTTATTTTGCTCCGGGGGGTCAAATGGGGGTTGAAAAATGACGTTTTTTATGCTAAAATCCCCGTCTTCCCTGAACTCCTCTTACAATTTACACAGTATGCTAGTCATCTTTTGGGAGATTGTTGGTGATGTCAACTAGATGTACAGAAAGGAAACGGAATTTTGATTTTGACCCGGGGGGTCAAATGAGGGTCGAAAAATGACGTTTTTTATGCTAAAAGCCCTGTCTTCCTTGAACTCCTTCTACATTTTACTTAGCAGCCTAATCATCTTTTGAGAGATGGTTGGTGGTGTCATGTAGATGTGCAGTAAGGTTTTGGAATGTTGATTTTGCCCCGGGGGGTCAAATGATGTTTTTATGCAAAAATCCCCGTCTTACTTGAACTCCTCTTACATTTGACTCAGTAGCCTAATCATCTTTTAAGAGATGGTTGGTGATGTGATGTAGATGTGCAGTAAAGTTTCGGAATTTTCATTTTGCCCGGGGTGGGTCAAATGGGGGTAGAATTCTTTTTTAGATATATACATTTGATAGGTTTAATCACCCTGCTTTATATGTTTAATCACCCTGTTTTCAAAAACTTCCCTAATATTTTATACAATTGCTTTAAACCATGATCATTTGGAAAATGATTGGTTTGTTTTGCATATGTATAAAATGGTTTCAAAATTTAAATTTTCATGTCGATGACAAAAAGGGGGAGGAAAAAAATGGCCCCTCCCTAACCCAGGGGGTCATGATTTGTACAAACTTGAGTCTACACCTCTTGAGAATGTTTCCATATTAATCATGCTCTTGTTGTTCTTGAAAAGAAGAATTTTGAAGATGTGTTTCCTTTTATTCCTAAATAAAACTTTGATCCCTAATTGAGGCCTGACCCTAGCCTTTGAGGTGATGATTTGAAAAACTAGAAATATGACTATAGGACATGAATGTCCCGCCAGATGTATATAATTGCTAATGCTACATGAAAATTTGTATTAGTGTATAAAGTTTGATGAAAATATCTTGAACAGTTTCTTTAGAATTGAAACTAGAATCTAAATAAATTGGATACCCTTACCAAAGTAAAATTATTGCAACAATATTGCTGCTATATTGCGGCAACATTGCGGCAACACATTTTTGTCACCAGAAACAAGCTTTTTGGGTTAGTGAAATATCACCGCTAGCTGCAACAACTTCTGGTGACATTCTGGCAATTTTGCCAGAAATATATATCACCGCTCTATGCTGCAACAACTTCCGGTGACATTTGATCAATACTGCCAGAAAAAAAATTTCTGGCAACATCTAGGATTACCCATGAGCCATTTGTTGAGCATGCTCAGTCATTTACTTCCTCTTTTTAAATAAAGTGGAGGGAATTCAAAGGCAAGCATGTTTTGCTTAATTACTAACTTGTATCAAGTTAATTAGAGTTGTTAATTGTGTACAGTGGGATTAGGCAAGATGAGTAGTAAGACTGCATGGTGTGGAATGACTAGAAAATGTGAAAAGTTTAAGACAGAATTACAGAGTCAAATGACGACGCCAGACAAAATATGAAGAAAAGCTCACTTGAGCCTTCGGCTCAGGTGTACTCTAAAATTTGTATTTATGTATCAAACTTGATGATATCAAAACAGTTTTTTTTTTTTGAGAATTGAAATAAAATATAAATAAATTGGAGATAAAATTGGAAAAATTGTATGTGTTTCAATTAATGCTTGTGATGCATGCATACTAGACTTGTATGTCTATATATCCTAGAGTAGCAGGAAAAGATGAATTAAAGCATGTTATTTGAAAATTAATGCAGAGTTGCTGGACATTTTCACAGTGGCATATTAATATTGTTTCTATAAACATTGTGTGTTACCTAATATTGAAATCAGACTAAAACTGTAGGAGGAGTAGCATTTTAAATGGATTTCAAAGAAAATTTTATTTTTAGTAACCATGGCAACACCGTTCACCGAAATCAAAAACCGATGCACTATTTTATGTATCTTAGTGTAGTCTACTTGTGTGTTACCTAATATTGAAATCAAATCAAAACTGTACTCCACTAATTAAGGAATTTCAAATGACATCAAGGTCAATGACCTTGTGACCTTGACTGTGATCTACTTGTATGCTAAAAATAGCTTCAGACCAAAACTGTAGGAGTATTCATCATAATTTCAAAGAAAAATAATTAATGAAAGATAGAGACTTTATATTTAGTATGCATAATTCACTAATTAACCTTTTTCAAAAGACACCTGAAGGTCAATGACCTGTAGGAGGAGTAGCGATTTTTTAAAGGAACTTCAAAGAAAATTCTATTTTTAGTAACCATAGCAACACCATTCATCGAAATCAAAAACTGATGCACTCATTTTAATGAAATACCTTAGGTCAAGACCTTGTGTGCTTAGTAATATGACCATATACAATGTACTTAAAATAGATTTTTTGAAACTTCAACATAACTTTTTAGTCATAAAAGATTCAGAAAATTCATATTTGGTATGCACTTGTTCACTAATTAAACTCTTTCAAGTAACACCAAGGTCAATGACAATTTGACCTTTACTGTGACCCATATGCTAAAAATAGCCATTTTGATCTTAGTGTAGTAAATTGTGTGTTACCTTATATTGAAATCAGACCAAAAATAGCATTTTAAATGGAACTCAAAGAAAATTTTATTTTTAGTAACCATGGCAACACCGTTCACCGAGATCAAAAACGATACACTATTTTATGTATCTTGCATACTTGTGTGCCAACTAATATTGAAATCAAATCAAAACTGTGACAGCGTTTTAAAGGAACTTCAATGAAATTCTATTTTTGACTGTGACCCATATAATATAAATAATATAAATATAATATAAATAGCTTTTTTCAAACTTTATTACCACCAGGCGCATAGTGTTTCACAAACATATCTTGATTTTCATTATGATGATCAACATAATTTTCACCGTTCAAAGAATAGCAGAAGTAGCTATTTCTTATTGACCCTGTGGCTTGCTATTGTGTTGTTATATTGAAATCAGCACAGTTTGTTAATTGTT